AGTGATCGTCCAGTGGACATCCCGCCCGGTACATCCCTAGGTTATCCTATTCGTGTCCCTGGAATATCTGATAACCATTCACATAAGAGTCATTGAATTTCATAAAAATATTGAGTTGAATTTTCTTGAAATTGTTTGTTTTTCTTTCGGAAAATAATTGTAATGGAAATAAGGAATAATGTCTCAGAACTTCTTAATTAATGACCATTTTTCGCAAACATAAATGGTAAATGCATAATGCCCCTTATTTTAAAACACCCAAGAATGATAATAATTATACATGAAATCCTAACAAAGTTGTATTTATTCAGGTTCCAGTTTTGTACTATTCATAAATCTGTGTAGTACATAAATCTTCAGAAGGCATATTAGCCAATAGAGTAAGGTGCGTGCCTGATAAGCTGAAGGTCCTGGGTTCAATCCCTACTCGACTCACCTTTTTTCTTGTCGGAGGGATTTTTCTGGAATATCCTTGGGACGTCCTAGGGATATTCTTCCTTCATACTTGGTACATCCCAGGGACGTACCAGAAGGACATTCCTTAGATGTCCTTCTTGTCTGGAAGTGGATGTCCTTGGGACGCCCCTAGCATGTACTTTGTCCCGACAAAGGATATCCCTGGGATACCCTAGTATAAAATTAGGGACGTCCCTGGGAAGTCCCTAGGATTTACTTGTGTTGTTAGAGTAAAAATTGCTCTACTTGATGCTGTTCCATGCCCAATTCAGTTCTAGTAAGATTCTGGATGACCAAATACGATGCAGATCCCTCACTTCTCATACCTCGAAGTATGAATGCAGACAACTTGACAAAGAGTACCATTGCACCATCATTGAAGTGGAAATATTTTGGATTGATGCCTATCGCAACATCTAGCAAAGAGACTATGAGGGTAAGTCATACTTTTTGGTAGGTGAATTAGAACCAACTATTTCTAAACTTATATACCTTACAATGTTGATGAAGAGAACTATCCTTGAACTAGCACTTTATCACTTGTAGATAATAATATACAGTGTGATTCACGGTGGATTGCACATTAGGTGTTCGTGGTGAACCAGGATGGATCACTTTGAAAATGTGACTGAGAGAATAATTAGACATTCTCTAGCCAACTCAAATATTTTCGTCAATGCTGTGTTGATACTTTCATCAGAAAGTACTAGCCATTTTCATTTTTCATCGGAACACCCTGTGAATAATATTGTTTTTAGAATTTCCAACGATTTCTCAACAACTCCTCCCAATTTCGAAATAAAAATTAATTCCAATTGTTTTCTTCGAAAATCATGGCCACTCAAAGTGCCGATATATTTCAGTTAAGATACTATGATATCGTCATACTTCAATACAGGTTGGTAAAAAAATTAAGTTATTTCGTTTCCTCGAAGAAGTGACTCAAAGTTGATTATTTTCCATGAAACAACCAGTATATTATTGAGAATTCAGAAATTTTCTTGAATTCTTTCCCTTTGTATGTATATCATACCTCTACCAATAATTCTCAAGTTTCGGATTCATGAGAATATCTTGAAAATGTTCCTTCAAAATGGTATCCCCATTTGTTATTTGGTCAGGTTAGGTTAGGTTAGGTTAGGTTAGGAGGCCATGATATCAATATTTGACAGAAACGTTGTGACATGCTCCTGATGAAATTGACATTTTCTTCACTTAGGAAGTAGCAATTATACCTTCAAAAACGATCGAACAATAAATATATAATCTGATATAATAAGGACGGCCAGACAGCTGCTGCTAGTCCATATAGCACACGACGTCCAGTGGACGTCCAGTTTATGTCTGAATGATATCCAAACGTCTATGAACCTAATATGGACATTCAATGGATGTAAAAATAGGGATATTTTTGTAACGTTCAGTACTGTACGTCTTATGGATGTCCATTGGGAATACGATATTCGACATTACCGAAATATCCATATTTGTAGGTTCCAGAATGTCCAAGAAATGTACTGAATCACGTTTCGAACGTCAATGTACGTTCAATAAATGTATACGATTCCAAATATATTTTGTGAGTTCAAAATTGTACATCTGATGGATGTTCATTATTGAAAGTACAATATTCTCCATTGTGAATCATACATATAATGGTAGTTTCAGTACGTCCAAGGAATGTTACATAATCGGATCCAAATTGTACGTTCACAAATTGTACTTCCATGTACGTTCAGTGGATGTATGATTCCAGATATGTACGTTCAGTTTCGTGCGTCCAGTGGATGTAACATTTCCGACATTATGAAGCATATCCATATTATGGCAGTTTCAGAAAGTCCAAGAAATGTACGAAAGTGATCTGAATTGTACGTTCACTAATTGAACATCTATGTACGATGAATGAATGTACGATTCCGGATATATAATAGTATGTTCAATATTGTACGTCTTATGAATGTCCATTAGAAGTAAAATATTTGATATTGTGAATCATTTATATAATGGTAGTTCCAGAACGTCCAAGGAATGTACATAATTGTTCCAGTTTGTACGTTCACTAATTGTACTTCCATGTACGTTCAGTGGATGTACTATTCCGGATTTGTATTTTACGTTCAGTTTCGTACGTCCAATGATTGCCCAGTGGATGTACGATTTTGGATCCAGTTCGTACGTTTTCAAATTGTACGCTTATATACATTCAATGTATATTTACGAAGATGGACGCACGGTTGTGGGAAGGCGTGATTGTGCGCTCTGATAGACTCATGAAGTGGGGCAACCGACAAGGTCAGGACCGAGATGGTCCAGCTCCAAAGTGTAAACGACAGACGAGAACGAGAAGCCATTTTGAGTTGTATCATAAGACCGTGATCATATATCATACCTATGGAGTTTTTTGTTGTGTGTTCGTGATAAATTTCCGGAATCGACTATTTGGAACCGAATCATTCAAAGCAGGTATGAAAGTATATATTCAGATATTCCCTTTCATATACTTATTTCATATCTATAATTTTATGTGCCCTGAAAGGTAGGTATTTCGTGATATTCTGTGAATAACCTATAAGTTTATGATTTATTTCGCAATGCATAGACGGCTT